ATTGCTCATGGCTATTGTGAAGTGTATTGTTTCCTTGATTTATTTCTCACACCCTTTATTGTTTGCATATAAGAGGACTATTGATTCTTTTTGAGTTGATCTTGCATCCAGTCTCTTTGCTAATGGTGTTTATCAGTTGTAGGAGTTCTCTGGTAGAATTTATGGGGTGGATTATGTGTACTATCATGTCATCACCAAATAGCAATACTGTGACTTCTTCTTTTCCAAGTTGGATCTATTTGATCTCCTTTACTTGCCTTATTGCTCTAGCTAGAACTTCAAGTATTATATTGAATAGGTTGAGGAGAGTGTACAGAGATGTTTTGTTACTGTTTTTAATAGAATTGCTTTGAGCTTCTCTCCATTTAATTTGATGTTGGTTGCCAGCTTGCTTTATATTGTTTTTATTGTGTTTAGGTATGTTTCTTGAATCACTGATCTCTCCAATCATGAAGGGCTGTTGGAGTTTGTTAAAGTTTTCAGCATCTAATGATATGATCATGTGCATTTTTTATTTCATTTTGATTATATGGTGGATTACACTGACAGATTTTCATACGTTGAAATATTCTTGCATCTCTGGAATGAAAGGCTGGGTATTTTCTTATCCACATGCTTTATATTTAGAGAACTAGAGGAGTTCTGAGCAACTACAGTCACTGCTATTAGGGCAAAGTACTACCATCTATAAATGTTTACTTTTGTTCTTTTGTCTATTGACAGAATGGAAATTAATTTGAAGGTTCCTCAAAATTTAAAAATAGAACTAGAGATTCTACTCCTGGATGTATCCAAAGAACTTCATACCTTACTACAGAGATTTCTGCACTTCTACATTTATTGATGCTCCATTCATGATGATAAGGAAATGGAACAGCCTAGATGTTCACCTACAGATGAATGAATAGTGAGAATATGGTACATACACAAGTTGAACAAACTATAAAGAAAAACGAAATGACAAAAGTTCTAGAAATAGGTGGATTTAGACATATAATAAGTGAAGTGACAATTCAAACCCAGAGAGTAAAATGCAGCCCATTGTTCTCCCTCACACACATACTAGTCATTAAAGAGGATAGACAGCAGTCTTAGTTTTTCATTTTATTGTAGTTGATGAATGAATTAAACTATAATTAATTATGAAGATGTAAAACCCTAAATGCAGTTCTGTGACTTTAGAGAGGCCATTCTACCTGTAGAGAGGTTCACTGAGGTGTTCAGAGTCAGGGATTTGACATGTGTTTACATGGCTTTTGTTGTTGTTGGGTAGTCCCTATTTAGAACTATCCCAGGATGCCACTTTACCTAAATTTAGTTTGACTCAGCTTAATTTTTAAGGAAATAATATACACTCCAGGTCTGGTTGGATTAATGTGTGCTTTTGATATTTTTAGTTCTAGGTCTCACACATACATTATCACCCAGGAAATGGAACTTCCCTTCACTGTGTACCCACGTCTTACTTTATCTATAAGAGATGCTGTTATTTTCCTGGTGGAAAAACTGAAGCTTCTGGGAAGTAAATGCCTTCTGAACCAAATGACACTGTTAGAATCCAATCTGGGTCCAAAATAAAAGCTCTCAATGTCTAAAATATCCAGAAACGTTCAAAGTAAAACATTTAAACTTTAGACCTATTCTATTTTAGGTATGGTCAACTTGGTGTAAGTCACTAAGTTCCCATTTTATTATAATTTTGGTCACACAATGTCTTTTTAATAAAAATAGAAACCATTTTTATTCCCTTTTACAGAGATTTTAAATGTCAAGAACTACCTTGTAATTTTCACTGTACTATTTTACTCATGTATGTCTTCTTAAATTACTTTAATCTACTATATGCCCATTTCAACTTGTTATTTTGTCTCTATCTTTACTTATTAATTGTTAGTTGTGGCAGCACAGTATGGTGGGATTTGCTAAAGGAGGCAGAGGCAGAGGCAGAAGAATTATGAGTTCGAGGGCAGTCTGGGCTATACATTTTAAGGTTGGAGAGATGGCTCAGCAGTTAAGTGCACTGGCTTTAACACTTTTACCTTTTACTATAGAAACTAAGCCCCATAATGGGAACTATTTGAATTAGAATCTTCCTGTTCTTTCAAATCTATTTTTGCTTCTTTCCTCATAACTCTTGACATATCTTTGCAAACCCCATCAGCCCCGACTCATTGTTCTCTTCCTGTTATGTAACATCTTTGAAAAGTCAGTTTGGATGGTGCTCGCCATTACAGGGAAGAAAGCATCCTGACTTACATTATCATTTGGATATTTTTTCTTATTTTTCTTATTGTGTTTTGTCAATTTACAAATATATTTTTGTACTGTTATGATTGTATCTCAAATGTCAAACAATTCAGGTCATTATATACTTCAGATGAGACCAATGAAAGCTTCTCTGTGGGAGTAACAAACCGTTTAGCGGCAGGTCTCTTTTATAGACCTTCAGGATTACATAAGAGGTTTGAAATATGTGGAGAGTAAGAGACAATTAATGGTTTCTTTTCTGCTTAAGTACACAGGAAATATATTGTTTGGTGTACTTATGCTACTTTTATTATTGTTAATTGATTGTTTTAATTAGCAGGAAAGACAAACTATCCTAGATTTTGTTTCCAAGCCTATCTAGGGTCCTGGAGAATCACATAATGCATAATTCTTCAATGGTTTTATTTTGCTTTTGCTTACATTTCAACAGTGCTGAGTTGTAACTTGGGACAGCTGTGCTATCTGGTCCTATCGGTCCTCTCTTCCTACATTCTTGATTCATGCCACCCTTACAAGAAATTAATGAAGACACCAGAAAACAGAAAGATCTCCCATGCTCTGGAATAGATAGAATTAACATAGCAAAAGTGGCAATCTTACCAAAAGCAATGTACAGATTCAATGCAATACCCATCAAAATTCCAACAAAATTCTTCATAGACCTTGAAAGAACAGTACTCAAATTCATATGGAAAACCAAAATTTCCAGGATGGCCAAAACAGTCCTGTATAAAAAAAGAACTTCTGGAGGCATCACAATCCCTGATTTCCAACTCTACTACAGAGCAACAGTGCTGAAAACAGCCTGGTATTGGCATAAAACCAGATAGGAGGACCAATGGAACTGAATCAAAGACTTGCATATCAATCCACACACCGATGAACACCTGATTTTTGACAAAGAAGCAAAAAATATAAAATGTATAAAAGAAAGCATATTCAACAAATGGTGCTGGCATAACTGGATATCAACATGTGGAAGAATGAAAATAGAACAATATCCATTACCATGCACAAAACTCAAGTCTAAATGGATCAAAGACCTCAACATAAAACCAATTACACTTATAGAAGAGAAAGTGGGAAGTACACTGAATGCATTGGCACAAGAGACCACTTCCTAAATAAAACTCCAGTAGCACAGATACTGAGAGCAACAATAAATAAATGGGACCTCCTGAAACTGAGAAGCTTAAGTTTCAGGAAAGCAAAGGACATTGTTAACAAGAAAAAGTCAGCCTACAGAATGTGAAAAGATCTTCACCAACCCCATATCAGACAGGGCTGATCTCCAAAATACACAGAGAAATTGGCCATTAAAAGAACAAATAATCCAATAAAAAATGGAGTACAGACCTAAACAGAGAACTCTCAACAGAGGAATCTAAAGACACTTCAGGAAATGCTCAACATCCTTAGCCATCAGAGAAATGCAACTCTGAGATTCCATCGTACACCTGTCAGAATGCTCAAGACCAAAAACACTGATGACAGCTTATGATGGAGAGGATGTGGGGTAAAGGGAACACTCCTCCAATGCTGGTGGGAGTGCAAGCTGGCACAGCCACTTTGGAAATCAGTATGCAATTTCTTATAAAATTAGGAAACAACCTACCTTAAGACCCAGCAATACCACCTTTGGGTCTTAACCATAGGATGCGCAATCATTCCATAAGGACAGGTATGTGGGAGGTGATATATGCTATGGATATGTTCTATTGCCATTGGTTAATTAAGAAGCTGCTTTCAGCCAGAGACAGAGAGATAGATAGATAGATAGATAGATAGATAGATAGATAGATAGATAGAGAGAAAAAGAGAGAGAGAGTAGGTGGAGTCAGAGAGAAGCCATTTAGCTGCTGCCAGGGACAGATGCCTCTGCTGTAGCCCACTGAAACTTTGCAGGTAGGTCAAGACCTTGTGGTGATGCACAGATTAATAAAATGAGTTAATTTAAGATAGAAAATCTAGCTAGAAATATTCTTAATCTATGGGCTAAACAGTATTGCAAATAATATAGTTATAGTTAAAGTTAAAATCTTCCCTAGGTGGTCTCACACCTGCTTCTTAGTTAGCCAAGGAACCGGCATCTGTTATTCTAAGACTTAATCTGAGTAGTGTCAATTTTGTTGATAAATTTCCATGGTGCCATTAATGAAGTAATGCTTATAGTTTAAGAAAATACAAATTACCATGTACCCGACTGAAAAGTAAAATAAAATAGAAATTTCATAACAACAACAAAGAAGAGATCAGGGAACTACAGGATTCCACTTTAAAATTAGAAGAACTTGCTGGGCGGTGGTGGCGCATGCCTTTAATCCCAACACTGTGAGTTTGAAGCTAGCCTGGTCCATAGAGCAAGGTCCAGGACAGGCCCCCAAAGCTACAGAGAAACCTGTCTCGAAAAATAAAAAAAAAAGGATTAAAAAAGATATTAGAGGAACTCACTAACAGTCCAGGCTGTTAGTTACCAATATGGAAGAAGGCCCTGCTGTGTCTCTGATATGGGAGGCAGCTGTGCATCAAATACAGTGATGGAAGGTGGTATTGTGTCTGTTCCCTGGATAGAAGTCTGTGATGGAAGTCTGTGGTGTGAGAGGCTGTGATGTGTTTGCTTACTGGTTGGAAGGCCACAGTGTGTGTCAGTTATGTGGATTGAAGGGAGGCTAACGAGTCTTGGCGTTAGGAACTTGGCATTGACAGTATGACTTTGCTTTGTGAGAACTCACCTTGGGCAGCTCCTCAATCTGATTGGCATCCAGATAGAGCTCCTCTAGCGTGCGTTCGAAGTTGAAGACCTCCTTTGGCACCTGCTGCAGGCTGCAGTGGGAGTAATCCAACACTGAGATGATCTCTTCCTCGCCGCGGAAGCAGCGGCATGGCACCAGGCGGCCAATGAGCTTCCGTTTGGTGGTCATCTCCAGGCACTGCACTGGGAGAGAACACACAGAGGTGTTTAGCCCTGACACTCAAGGATGGCTGCATCCTCACCCCAAACGGCTGGTTACAATACTGCGGTGCATGTGAGCTCTACGGGACATGCAAGCATCACACTCTTAAGCCCTTTAAGTGGAATCAGGCCCAGGTCAACTTCCACAGACTCTTTCGGAAGAGTATTCCATTTATGCAAAAATAGTCAAATTTCACCCCAGAGTTTACGATGTCCTTTTTGATCCATAGACAAACTCTATGAATGACTTTATTGGGGCCCACCAATGTTTCACACTCTCATTAAACACTATCTTCATGAAGTCTACTCTCTTGGAACCATAGAACCCTGATTCACATAGAGAAAAAAAGGATTTATAATCATATTGGAAATTTCTAGGAACCCCCTGACATATCTCTTTCTTATTTCTCTAAGTTAAAATGACCAAAGGTCTTGCAGGCTTACACCATGATTTTGTCAACACTAAACTTATTTTACACTCCCAGGATAAGCTTTTGAGGGTCACAAACAGGATTTTATTTCTCCTGGTGTCTGTCTTAGTGGCTGGCAATTGATAACTGTTTATTGACTACAGAGTGACAGGCGAATGTATGAATGAGTAAATAAAGGCTTGAAACTCTGATCCTGATCGCTATCAGTTATGGGTAATTAACTTGAGAAACTTCTCATTCTAACTAAAGGCCACTCTCCCTGTATGTGCCCCCGGGAACAATGAAGACACTACTTCCTAACTGTGTGTTCTTTCTACACATAGGATCCTGAATTCTTCAAGGAGATCTTGACTTATATATTCTTAAATATACAGTATTTATATTTATCTCAATATACATCATATAAGATATATAAAATATTTTAATTAAATATATCTTAAATATACATTGCTATAGTTTGATGAGTATAGAATTAGTATTAAATGAACATTAATTCAAACTTGGCACTTAATTTGTAGTTTTTTGTGTCTATACATATATGTGTGTATATTTGTGTGTGTGTGTAGGTCAGAGGCAATCTTCAGGTATGATTCTTAGGAGCCATTCACTTTTTTTTTTTGAGATGGGGCTTTTCTTGGTCTGGAGCTTGCTGAGTAGGCAGGCTGACTGGACAGAAAACCACAGGGGTTGTCCCCTCCCCCACCCCGTCTCTGCCTCCCTAGTGCTGGGATTGCAAACCTACACCATCAAACCTGAATCTTTTTTTTTTTTTTGTATGGGTTCTGGAAATTGAACTCAGGAACTCATTTTTGTGTGACAAACATTTTATAACTGATGTATTTACCTAGCCTATTAATTAGATTTTTATTTTTTAGAATAGAAAGTTATTGCTGAGGGGTAGGAGTGATAGCTTAGCAGTTAAGAATGCTTACTGCTCTTGCAAAGGACCAGTGTTTTGCTTCCAGCACCAACTATAGGTAGCTCTGCAGACATACACACACACACACACACACACACACACACACACACACACACAGTCTTTAGAAGTGTGTTGTTTAAATAAAAAATAAAGACATTTATTAAAAAGTTAGATAGCATTTTGTTTTTTAAAATTGCATAGTTTGAATCAAATTTGCAAACTACCAGATACAATTTATTTAAAAGCTGCAGGGTTTTTATTCAAGGATGTCCTTATGTCTCCTTTAACTTCTGAAATTAGTGCAAAGAAATTCCTGGGACAAGTTAGTGAATGAACATTTACATATATATATATATATATATGTATATAAACATGGAAATATGTAGAAAGCTAACTGAAAGCCTTTTCCATCACCTTTTATTATTCCTTCTCTGACACTTACATTTCTAGAGGATGAGTCACAAGACTAGGTAACAACTGTTTTACCAAATTTTATTGAAATTGCAGGCTTGTGGGATGCCTCATCTCTACCTGGAATCTAGCACATCTTAAGCATCCAATAATGGGCCTAGCAAGTGAGTGGCATGCCCTTGTAGCTGGTAAACATGTGTGGAGTATTTTGCAGTTATAAAGGTAAAGATAATAGGCTGTGGCTAGTAGCAATGTTGTGGTATGGTGGATAATTTTGTGCTTTTTGGACGAGTTAAAATTGCATTGTTTTATTTTAAAAAAATATTTATTTTTGTGTGTATCCATGTGAGTGCATGGACATATGCATGTGTGTGCAGGCGTGTGCACCTGTGTAAATACACAGAAGCTGGATGAGGGTGTTTGGAGCTCTCTTCAATCGATCTTTGTCTACACATTTGAGGTGGAGACTCTCCTGGGACCTGGAGTTCGCATTTTCTTCTTTAGGCAGGAAGCCAGCAAATCCCAACAATCCTGTCTCTGCCCTCTTCAGAGATGGGGAAACAGTAGGCATGGGACTGGCTTGGTAAATAAGCTTTGGGGCCAGAATTCCAGGCTTCATGATTCGGCAGCAAGGGCTCTTAATTAATGAAACATCCTTCCAGCTTCTGCGTGGTGTATCTCTTGCCTGTTTTCTATGTACCCTTCACCGGTTCAGATCCCTGGATGTTTCTCCTAGATGGATGCTCCACTGTCATCAGTACTCTGAGAACACTTCTCCCCACTCTCATCTGGAGCTTCTGCTTCAGCAGACCTATGCAGAGCTCCTCTTCACCATCACCTGTGACGTCTACGCTTCCTTCCTGTGTTAGAGCCTGTATTTCCTAGGTTGGATGCCTTATTCCAAAATTTTATTTTTTTTTTCAGTTTGGCAGAAGATTGCTTCCATTTTCTTGCTGAGAAAGGACGTACAGTAGGTATTTATTTATTTATTGAGGTTTTGCAGCCTGAAGATGTCTTATTTACCCACAAAGGATCGAAAAGTTCAACTGGATATACATTTCTAGGTCAGAAGTACTTTTCCTTTATAAATGTGGAGGCATATTTTGGTACCTTGTAAGAAAGCCCAATTTCTTTCCTATTTAAAGTCCTATTTCACACTCAACTTCTCCAGCAGACAGTTTTAAAATTTTATCTCTGGTCTTAAACATTCATGACAATGTGCTCTGAGTTTTCTTAAATTGTTCTTGATTCTGATGGGTTTCCTTTCCTGCAATCCTCACTAACTGGATGAGAGAACTGTTTTTTAGATATAGCCTACAAGTCAATTATTTATTCTCTAGCCATTTCTATGTCATTGTACCTTGTTTCTATTTTCCAGGAAGTTTCCTCGTTTACTTTCTAACCCCATGTAATGAGTTGTTTTAAATCTGACAGTGCGCTTTAACTTCACGAGAGCTGTGTGATGCATTCTGCATGCTCAGCTTTTACAGCTCCCTGTTTGTGTGCCAGGGGTCCGTGTCTTCTTCATTTCTCTCAGAGGATGTCAACTATAGATTTATCTTTCCCTCCTTGGTGCTTGTGTAGCTCCCGAGTTCCACTTTGTGTCCTTTGGTCCTCTTCTCTCAGGATAGACGCTTTCCTCAAATATCCAGCGATCTGTGGCTGTCTTCCAACACTGAGTGACCCTCTGAGAGGATAATTGAAGCTCTGTGTGTATGACAGGTTTCATCTCAGAATAAACTGTCATCAAGCCAAAGAAAATTCCAAAGGATGTTCTGGCCATCTACCTGAGCTGGAAAAATGCTTCTCTGTAGGGGCAATTTCCTACTGTTGGCATCAACTCCCCGCTTGCTTGTGTGTTGTGTTCATATGTACGAGTGTTTCTGTGTAGATGTGTGCATAAGTGCACATGAAAACAGAGGTCAGAGCTTAACCTCTGGTATTGTTCCTCAGGACTCATTTGCTTTGTATTTTGAGACTAGCTCTCTTAATTTATCTACCCTGTCAGTACTAGGAGATCCTCCTGTCTTTGTCTCCATAACCCTGAGATTGTAAACATTAATTAATTATACCTGTATTTTCACATGGGAATTTTATATACATCCAGAACCTCATGCTTGCACAGAAAACACTAACTGACCAAGTTTTCTCTAGCAACTCTTTAGTTTCTTGTATCTTATTTGTTGTCTTCAGTTTTAATGAGTTGGAAAATCAACTCCTACACCTTAGAGAGTATTTTATAATGTAGTTAGCAACAGGCTCTGAATATATATATAAAATGCGTGTGTGTGCTACATCCTACCCTAGCTTCTAAAATCATGTTGAAGTTACATACTAGTACCTCCTCATGTCTCCACGATAGGGAGAGTATACATACACTTTAAATTCCTTTTAGTCCAGTGGAGTCTTTCTCATAAGAATAGATAAATCAACAATGGGTATGTCTGAGGGAGGTTTCTCTCAATACATTTTATTTTTACAATCTTTCCCCGGTTGACCGGCTGGTCCATAGTGGTGTTTAGTTCTAAGCAGGAATATTACAAACTTCTTTGGGAAAATTCTCTTCTATTGACTCCCATGATGCCCCACTCTGACTTCAGATTCTAATTTCACACTGGGAATGTCACACCTGCACTCACAATTGGTGTTCCATTGTTCTGATCAATGTAGATTCCCACAGAGGTTCTCTTCTTTAAGCCTTTTGAGGGTCAGTTTTCTACACTGAAGATGTGCTCTGTGGTGTTAGATTCCTCTGGACATGCTGTTCTTCCAGCTACACAGTCTCGTTCACATTTCCCAATACCTACTTCAGTTATGTAAGCTAAGTAGAAAGTGGATGCCTATAAAAATTGTCTTTAACAGATTTTCCATCAAAGATATTATAAACAATAATGTTTTCAGAACTGAGCTAATGTTCATGAGAGGCATCTCATTGTGGGTGACCTTGGACTCTAGAACAGGCTGCCTGGATGTGTGTGTGTGTGTGTGTGTGTGTGTGTGTGTGTGTGTGAGAGAGAGAGAGAGAGAGAGAGAGAGAGAGATTGTACATTATTCTAATTCCCTTGATTTTATCATCTAAAAAAGCCTCAGTATGCGTCTAGTGTAAAGAATTAAATCTTCAAGTCTGAAGCCAGCACTCTTCCACCTATACCTCCCAGTCTCAGGATGAGATCTGTAATGTGTGTAATGCTCACAGATCTGGCTGGGAACTTCACATCTCC